CCCCTCCCCCGGAGGAGAGGGGCTGGGCGAGCCCTTCGGGGAGCCCCCCGGGGGTCCCTAGGGGAGGGGGTCCGGCGAAGCCCCCTCGGTGAGCGGGCTCGGGGGAAGGGCTCAGAGGACCCCCTGGGGGTGTCTGGCAGTGGGTCTGGGCAGAGGGCTCAGACCCCCCCCCTCCAGCGGTGGGGTCCGAGGGAAGAAGCTGGGCGCTGCCCGAGCATCCCCCGGGGCCCTCCCTGCTGCCCTGGGGGCTGGGCTTCACTCACACTCATACTCGCACTCACACTCAGCAGCATCCCTCTGCCCCTCCAGTTCTGCCCTCCGCCACCGCCAAGATGCTGCTTTTGCTGCTGGGGATCATCGTGCTCCATGTCACCGTGCTGGTGCTCCTCTTCGTCTCCACCATCGTTAGTGTAAGTACGGACTCTCCTGTGGCCCCGGCGAGGCAGGGGGGGGCTGGTGGGGGGGGGGGGGGGGGGTATAACCAGAAAGTGTTATTTTTATTTATCGTTTACTTTCCAGCCTGGATTTTAGCAGGGAATATTAGTTGCCGATTGCTGGTCTTATTAACGGTGGGATTTGAGAGCATTTTGCACAGAAAGCTCTGTCAGGTGTAAATGGGGGGGGGTGGGGGGTGTCGCTTGGTTGCGTGCTCCGTTAGGACAGAGGAGAGCCCTCTTGAAGCCCATCTCCTCATCGTCCCCACGCTGGGTCACATCACGGAGCACCCAAACTCCCCTCCCTGCGGGTGACACTGCACTCCCCTTTCGTAACGGAGCTCCACCTGTGAACGGGCTTCAGCCCACAGCACCAGTACAACCAGTCTGAGCAAAACCCCTTGAAACAGGACTGGTTTGGGGACGGGCTCCTCAGCACCAGCAGTTTTTGCTCTCCTGCTGGGCTCGTTTGGGGCTGGGAATTAGGCACAGCCTCCCTCTCCTCACCCAGACGGGCTCCTGCTGGTGATTTTCAAGGCTTTAAGCTTTGCAAGCAGTGGGAAGATTGAGGGTCGGGTGCTGCTGCACCACCCAGCACCGTTCTCGGTCCAGAGCCCAGTTAACACGTCATCTACTGAGGAAGAGGTTCGACTTTGTTTTAAGGCAGCAGTTTTGGGGAGCTGGTGAGTTCTAGGCTTACTTCACCACGTTCTTCTTTAATTTTTTTTTTTGGGTGGTAACAGTAGTAGAAGATGTTTAAAAAAAAAAAAAAAATAATCTTCTGAGTCGTTAGGAATCACGTGGAAGCATTCAAATAGCCCGGCCGGGCACTGGGCGAGGACGGCAGAGGGGAGGGCAGCGCGCATCCCCCGCGGGACTTGGGCCATGTTGAAAAGAGAATAAAAGCCCTTCTGTTTTGCTGCCGTTGAGGTGGAAGCAAGCTAAAAGCAAATATCAGTCTTTCCTTTCCAAACCCCCCTTTTTTTTTTTTTTTTTT